ACACACACACACAAATAATATAATAAAAATATTTTTTTAAAGAAAGTTACTTTAAATATGAAAATGCAGTATGTTACGCATAAAGGAACAGAGACAGAGAGTCCATACCAACTGATCAAAAGACAGCAGCTGTATCAATTTCAGAAAAGCAGACTTCAGAACAAGCAAAACTCAGTGTTAAAAGGAGCATTATGTAATTATAAAGGGGTCAGTTCTCCAGGGAGACGCACCATCTTTATTGTGTGTGCAAGAAACTAGCATCAAAGTGCATGAGACAGGGCTGGGGGTGCAACTCAGTAGCACACTGTTTGCCTAACATGTGAGGCCATGGGTCTGATGCCCAGCACATATTAAATAAATAAGTAGATAATAGACAGATAAATAAATAGGGCAAACATTTATAGGACTAAGTGAGAAACAGACAAGTTATTTCTACTGCTGGGGTCTTCAATATTTCTCTTTTGGTAGTTGGTATATACAGCAAGCAGGAAACTGGTGAGGGTGGATCTGTGCAGTGATTTCCCCTGAATCAAAAGCTGAAACTTAGAGCTACACAAGACCCCTCCCCAAGGTTGCAGAAGTAGTGGATGACTGCTGGAGACAGACTCTTCGACCTGGCCACTGAGCTGCCTGCAGGCCATGCAGAAAACACCAGGGATGCAGCTTTTGAGATCACCGCCCAGGCTGGGGTGGGCTTTTCAGTGATGCAGCAGTCTTTAAGTCATCCAGCCTCTGTAAGAAACCCCTCAACCTTGTTCCTGTAAGTAACCCCTCACCCCTGTTCCTATAAGTAATCCTAGTAAACTCATTAGTTCACCAAGCTGGACTTTGGTAATATTGTGACTTCTGTCTTTCTGGGGTGAGTAGGTGTTTGTTCATGTCTCCCTAGGTGAGGTCTCACACAACATGTTTTTTACCTGAACAGCAACAACAATCAACTTGATCTAACTAACTTCTATGTAATTCTCTATTCAAGAAAGAATAACACATAATCCTTAAACTCGCACGGGAACGTTTACTAAGTAAGGTGTACCACAAATTGCACCACGGAACACAACAAATTTAAAAGAATAAAAATCATAGCAAGTGTTCTATCAGATCACAATGAATTAAACTGCAGATCAGTAACAGAAGGCTACCTGGAGAGTTCCAAGATATTCAGAGACGACATAACAAAGTTCGAAGAGTAAAAATGTTCTGAGAAATTTTTAAATATTTGGAATTAGGTGAAAATGAAAACACAACTTTTAAAACATATGGGATGTTGCAAAGGCAGGGCATGGGGGAAATATATAACATTAAATGTATAAATTAGAAAAGAAGAATGATTTAGATGAATAATCTGTTTCATCTGAGGAAATTAGAAGAAGAGGAGCGATTTCATCCCAGTGAGAACAAAAGAAGCAATAAAAAATCGAAGTGGAAAAAATTGAGGCCAGCCTGGCCTACATAGTGAGTTACAGGGAGACCCTGTCTCACAAAACCAAAATCAAAGTGGAAAATAATAACATTGAAATAAGAAAACATTAAACTCATCAAAAGCTGATTCTTTGAAAAGCTCAATAAAGTTCCTAAATCTCTAGCTAGGCTAATGAGAAAAATATTTTTAAGGTAGACACAAGCTGCTAATGTCAGAAACAAGGGAAGGGTCAGTTCCATGAATTTCACAGAAATTGAAAGTGCAGAGGGACCATTGCAGTCAGCCCTAGGCCTGCAGATTTAATGACGGAAGAATGACCAAACTTCTTTAAGATTAAAAAAAATTATGTATGTGTATGTCTGTGGGTGTGTGCATGTGAGTGCAGGTGCCTGCAGAGGCCAGAGACATCAGATCTCCCAGGAACTGGAATTACAGGAAGTTGTGAGGTTGCTGGGAAATGAACTCAGATGACCAAATTTCTTAAAAGATAGAAATTACCAAATAGACCACTGGAACAAGTTGTATTGGTTAAAAAAAACTGAACCAGAAATTAAGAGCCCCCACGCTCAAGAGTTGGCATCTGGCTGTTGGCATCTCTAGTGAATTCCACCAAATTTCACAGGAGAAATGATACTTTAATGAGCTGCAGCAGGACCAGAGCCACCTTGACCACTCTCAGCTAGAGGGATTTCCATACACTCTCATCTTGTGTTTTTTAAGGATGTGTGTGTGCGTGCATGTGTGCGTGCGTGTGTGCGTGTGTGTGTGTGTGTGTGTGTGTGTGTGTGTGTGGATGCCCTTGAATCTCAGAAAAGGGCATCAGACCCCTGGAGCTTGAGATACATGAAGTTGTGAGCCACTGCACATGGGAGCTGGGAAACGAACACATCTTCCACAAGAGCAGCAGTAGATGCTTTTAACTGCTATACCATCTATCCAGACCTCTTTCATATTCTTAAAAATATGGTTTCCAGGCTGGAGAGATGGTTCATCAGGTTAAGAACACTGACTGCTCCTGCCGAGGAGGACCTGGGTTTGATTCCCAGAACCCACATGGAGGGCTAACAACCATAGGTAATTCCAGTTCCAAGGGAATCCAATGCCCTCTTCTGACCTTTTTGATCATTGCACAGCATGGGTGCACTTACAGGCATGCAGGCAAAACATACACATAAAACAAAAACAATAAATAAAATTTTAAACTTTTTAAAAGAATTTATTTATTATTTTTATTTTATGTGTATGCGTGTATGGCCTGCATGTAGGTAAGTGCACCCGTGTCGTGCAATGCCTGTGGAGGGCAGAAGAGGCTGTCTGATCCCCTGGGACTGGAGTTATGGACAGTTGGTAGCTGCCATGTGGGTGCTGGGATTTGAATCCGGGAATTCTGCAAGAACAACCAGTGTTCTTAACCACTAAGCTATCTCTCCAGCCCCAGTAAATAAAATTTTAAAAACATGAGTACCATCCTCTAACCAGATGTGTAACCAAGCACAGAAAAAGAAAGGGTAAGAGTAATACCTGCTCCCCAACTACTGGAATTAGTCATTCGATTTCATTTGTTTCTCTTCCACTGGTTAAAAAGATCAAAGGATACTGGACTGACTTAAACCACACTGGTGGGCTCAGCACAGAACTGTCCCCAGCTTTGAAAGTGGGAGAAGGTTAGCAACAGCCAGCCACCTGACTTGGATTTTACTTTTCTAAAAAGATCTTTAGTGAAGAGTCATCTTTTGGAGCGTGGATTAGGGAGACCTACCAGAAGATTGAGAGGGTCAGAGGTCACTGACCCTCTCAGAACTGGCCACTCCCTCTGGAGCTCTCGGGCCAGAAGTCCACCCAGTGCCAGCCCAGCTATGTGACAGAAACGAGGAAATGAGGAGGCGATGTGAGGCGAAGGGGCTAGAGTGTTCCCTGTCAGATAACCTACTGCACTGAAAACTGTACCAAATTCTTAATTTTCTTGTCATCTCAAACACTTGTGGCTGAGGCCGGGCAGCCATAGGTAACAAACCAAAGCACTGACCTTACCAGAGACAAGGAACAAAGAGAGGAGAAAATGATTTACCTGCTGCTGAGTCCACTGCCTCTTCCTGCCACCTCCCGTTCAGTCCCAGGGGCCCTGAACATGGCTTAGATTAGATTTTCACCACCTCGGAGCATTCCGAAAGCTTCAAGAGAAACTGCCAATTGACCCGACCCTCCCTTCCTCCAGAGCTCGGCAGTAAGGGGGAAAAGGAAAGTGAAATTGTTTAATTGTGACGTGGCTGTTCTCACATGGTCCTCCCTCCACTCAGTCTCTGTCCCACAGGGAAGGAGGAGCAAAGATAGCCTCGGTCCACGGAATCCTCGGACCACTTGTTCAAGCCAAGGAAAGAAGGGGGAAGATTCTGTCCAGCTGAAACTCAGAGCTGCTTTGAGGTGAGGTGGCTGCTTAGGACGGGAAGGAAGTCAACTCTTGCCCTTTACCCTTGCTAAGGTGGTGACTGGAAGGAAAGGAAGAGGGGGTTTCTGACTCTCTCAGACCTGTGACTGGCTGGGCACCCTGGGGAACCAGAACAGGAGGAACTGGACCTGACTTTTGAGCACTGGAGTAGTTAAAGCCAAATGTGGGGTCGCATCAAGTTGTAGCACCTCGGCAGGCGGCCAGAAGTCAGAGGAAAGCTCCCCCAACTCCTGCAACTAAAGGCGAACAGAGGATTTGGACGGAGGAGGCTGAAGCCAATGCTGAGTTTCATGGGTGGGCCCTTCGGTCTTCATCCATTTAGAACAGCAGCCCCTGTGGGATGGGGAAAGGTTGGGAGCTGAACCTTCAAGGACAACGCAGTTCCTGAGGATGTGTGAGTGCATCTATCATACACAGCACGTTCACTTAGATTACAATTAGAAAACTAGCATGAAATTGAAAGAGTGAATGGCATCCAAGAGTGAATGGCTCAAGGCTCAGAGCAGGGGGCTGACACAGGTGAGGCCGGGAACAGAGCAGGCAGCGTTTTCCTGGGTATGACCCCTGAATCCTGGTGCCTCTGGCTCATTACAGATGTGCAAGGGTGAGTGTGCAAATGCAGAGAGAGACTTTCGGTTCTTGTTGGCTTCAAACCCCAGTGTGACCCAGATAGATGGCAGGACCCTGATGAGGACATGAGGACATGTCCAGTGCCCAGGGTCACTGTGCCGCATGGTCCTGCATGCATGAAGCATCTCTCTCTTTTGCTCTCTCAAACAACTCTTCCTCCCCCTCCTTCTCCTCCTCCTCCTCCTCCTCCTCCTCCTCTTCCTTCGCTT